TGTCTTATATTCTTTTTTTTTTTTTTTTTTTTTGAATTGGAGTCTCACTCTGTCACCCAGACTGGAGTGCAGTGGCCGCTCCCAGCCACCGCAGCCTCAACCTGCTGGGCTCCAGCGATCCTTCCGCCTCAGCCTTCCAAGTAGCCGGAATTACAGGCATGTGCTACCACACCTGGCTGATTTTTTTGATTTATTGTAGAGATGAGGTCTCGCTGCCCAGGCGGGTCTCAAACCTGCGGGCTCAGGCAATCCACTCACCTCAGCCTCCCAAAGACGCAGGATTACAGGCTAAGACACCGAGCCCGGTGCTTTTTCTTATATTCTATTCTCTGCTATTTTCTATTTTTCATCCTTTTGCCTCTGTATGTTTCATTATAAATATTCTGTTTTGACCTATTTTTGAGTTCACTAATTTTCCCTAATGTGAGGCCTAATTTACTGTTAAAACCATCCACAAGCACTCATCATGTGAAATATATTATTTTCAATTTTGAAATTTCCATTTGGTTCTTTTTTATAGTTTTTATCTCTTTGCTGAATTACCCAACATTAACATACTTGAACATGCTAATGAATAGTTCTTTTAATCACTATTTGATACGTCCATTATCTAGAGACCCTAATGAATCTGATTATACTGTGTTTTTTTTCTCTGTGATTTTGACCATACTGTCTTGAAATTTGGGGTACTTATTTTCAAGTGAGTCCTAGATACTCCATGTGAAAATTATGATAATTTAAGGCCTACAAAGATACAACCTTCTGTTAAACAGTATTTACATTTGCTATTAGCAGGTTGCTAGAAGACTGGCAAAACTGGAGCCCCTTAGCCCAATTTTAGGACTGAAGTAATTTAAAACTATACTTCAATCCTCCCAAGGAAAGTCTATTTCCAGTCTATTTTTTCTTATAGGGTATAGTCCTTTAAGATACCTACCAAAATGTAGTGTTTTACCATGCCTCCTCTTGGGTAGGCCCAGAGTCTGAAATATCACTCCCAACTCTGAGATCTATTCAAAATTTCACCATATCAGATACCTCTTCTGGAACTGGCAGGTAATACTGGAGAAAAAGTAGGCTTTCTCTGGGATTCTTTCTTCCATAAAGGTTTGGTCCCATAAATCTTCAGCCTTATTGGCTCTCTAATATCTTTTAAACAAATGTCTCTGATGTCTTTCAAAACAACATTTGGTCCAGCTTAACTCACAGTTATCAGCTGCACTACTGACCCAAATTATCTAATTCACTGTAATATATAATAACTATTAACCCTACACCATTTGGGGAGGGAGGATGCCTGCAAAAGACAATTATGCCAAAGTATCTCACTAACTGAAAGAGGGCATCCAATTTTCAATTTCCTGAGTAATGCTGGAAAATCATTTATTCACTAATCAATTAAATGTCTAATATATGTGTGCTATGAAAATTCAAATAAGCAAGGGCTTAGCAAGGATTTACAGTCTGATAGGGAAAACCCTGGTCTTGTGTATAAGTATAATAAAGTGTTATAGGTAAAATGATACAAGTATACACTGAGTAAAGTGGTGCCCTAAAAATAACAACAGTGAGTTTGTGATGGGAACCAAAGGAAAAGAGTAATTCTTGAATGCAGCTGTACAAGATGAATTGCACTTACCAGCACGAGGCAGTGACAAGCAAAGGAGATGAGGTATTCATAGCAGTCAGGGCAAAAAAAGAGCTATGGGTGATGTAAAAGCACAGTATAGACTTAGTACTTGGAGTACAAAGTTAGCAAGGAGCTCAATACAGGTAGATGATGGGGTGTGTGATGTACATGTGCACTAGCATATGTTCTCTGCATATGAATGTGAGTAGAGTAGCCATGGTTGTGACAATGACAGGGAGTAACTTACAGAAGGAAAATAACCTGGGTCCATATTGTGGACAGTCATATATGACATAATAAAGTTCATATAAAAATCATATTTAGCACAAATCAATTGAAGTATATTCACTAAAATCAGAAAAAAGTATATTTGCTATCATAAAAATTACTAAACACTGCTTAAAAACATAGAGAACAAATAGACAAAACAATCAGAAGAGATAAAATTGTTATTATCTGCAGATGCTAGGTCCACAGAAGAATAAATGTTTTTAGTTACTTAACCCCAAACATGATTAGGTATTAGGAGGAGGGACTTTGTGAGGTTATGATGGTAGGGCACTTATGAAAGAGATCAGTGTACTTATAAAGGACAACTCTTTCATCCCTTCTACTATATGAGGATATACAGAGAAGGCATCTTTTATGAACCAGAAAGAGGGCTCTCACGAGAAACTGAATCTGTCAGTAAACTGATCTTGGCTTCTGGACTCCAGAACTGTGAGAAACAAATTTCTATTGTTTATAAGTTACCCAGTTTATGGTATTTTGTTATAGCAGCCCCGAGGGACTAAGACAAATTTCATTTACAAGAGCATCAAAAAGAATAAAGTACTTAGTAATAAACTTAACAAAGGAGGTGAAATACTTATACACTGAAAACTACAAAACACTCTTCAGCCTTGAAAAAGAAAATCCTATCATATGCTAAAATATGGATCAACAGTGAGGACATTATGTTAAGTGAAATAAGTCAGTAACAGGACAAATACTGCATGATTCCACAAATTAGGTGTCTAAAGTAGACAAATTTGTAGAAGCAGAAGGTGGAATGGTAGTTGCCAGGAGCTGGAGAGAGGGGAATGGAGAGTTGCTGCACAATGGGAGCAGAGTTTTTTAGTCACACAACATGAAAAAGTTCTAGAGATCTGCTGTGCAACAATGTGCACAGAGTTAATAATACTGTATTATACACATAGAAATTTAAGAGAATAGATTTCATGTTATGTGAAGTTTTTACCACAATTTAAAAAAAAAGAATGCACTAAAGTAGCTAAGGACATTTTTATTTTTAAAAACTGCTATATTAGAAGTTAAAAGTTTTATAAAACGACTCTAAGTAAAGCCATGCTGTGCTAGAATACAGAAAGCTAAGGGGGGGGGGGGCAAGCAAAAACCTAAAAGCCCAAGTATTTATATACATGTGCTGTCCATAATCGATGAGAAAAGAATGGATTATGCAATGAGGTTGAGGCAATGGGTTCACCATTTAGCAAAAATAGAGTTCAATCATGTATCATGCACTGAAATAATCAGCTATATTAGTGATATACATTTAGTTTATAACAGGGAAGAATTTTTGACTGGTGGCAGAATATGAAAAATGGAAAGTTTGTATAACTCTCACTTAGCCTCCCCTAAGTCTCCAATGACATTAAAGTCATAAAGAATCTCCAAACACCAGACTCTAGATGAATACAGAAAAGCCTGAGTGACAGAGTGAGACCCCAACTCAAAAAAAAAAAAGCATGTTCCAATGGAAAATATAAATATGCTACTTTTCCTTTTTACTAAAACTGATTTCGTATAGTGATAAACACAAATGAAAACTGATTGTTCGCAAGAGTAGTGTGATATTATTGCAGGAACAGCAAAAGATTTTAGAGTCTCAACTGGCTTACACCAAGCTTTGTAAACACAAATGGCAAAATGAATCATGCTTCAATGTGATAAATCTACAAAGGATATTATTCTCAAAGAATATATATTGACATGGGAAAAGTTCATTCAGTCAGTCAACAAATACTGTGTTGGGCTCTGAATAATGTGCTAAAGATTTTAAAGTGAGCAAGACAGACATGATTCTTGATGTCAAGAATCTTATAGTTTAGTGAGAAAGGGAAACAAACATTATAGTCATAATATACTTAATATAAAAGGTACAACAAATATGTAAGTATATAGCAGGAGAATCTGCCTAGTCTATAAGAGTCAGAGAAGGTTTTTGTAAGAAAAGAGAAATTTTAAGTTCAGATCTGACAGATACTCTGGAATTGGCCCAACCATGGTTCTGGGTGGAGAAATAAGCTAAGTACTCAGTATAAGCTCTCAGGGGAAAAAGGCCCAGTTGCAAAAGAGGATGGGCAGGCTGGGTAGAAGTATAGGGGAGGACACAGAATTGTATATATGCTCAAGAACTAAATACATCTGCACAGAATAAGGTTGGAAGTATATGAAAGAAAATGGTATTAGTACTTAACTCTGGTTATAGAATTAGAAGTATGAGTAACTTCTGGTTCTTTTCTGTTTTTCTTTATTTAAATTTCCTAATCACACATTACCGTTTATTGATCAAAAGTATTATTTAAATAGTATTTTAGCATTTTGTTTATTAAAACCTTAGACAAGTCTGTTAAAACTTAATTTACTCATTTGGAAATAAGGTTAGTAATATTTAACTGCACAAAGTTGCTGATTAGGATAAAATATGATAACATGTGAGGGATAATAATTTTGTGATAGTTGACGGACCTAACTCAGTATCAAAGTCACCAAAAAAGAGCCTTCAGACAGAATTGGGAGGAAGGTGGTTGCGAAAACTAACAGATGAGGAGGATGAAAATGTAACTCGATAAAGTAGGTGACCTGGTTACTGATGTGTTCCCTACAATCTTTAGCAATGATAGCTGTCAATGTTAATTAACTGTCCCCTTTCTCCAAGTTCACACCCAAATTCAGAATCCTTCTCAACATAACATTCTGTATGAAACTACTTACAATTAATTTATAATGGCATGATACTTGAAACCTTATGCTATCACTAGCCTCAGAATTTCAAATATGAATACAATCAAATTCCACAATTTTTAAAAAAGGTAATTTGATTATTTAAAATGTCTTATTGAATTTCTATTTTAACCTTTAAACGTTTTGTTTTCTCTGAAGACGTACACCTTATAGCGTGCCCAGAAATTCTAATTTGTATTTTTTGCAAACCCTTGTTATTCCTTTATTATACTGGAAACAGAACAATGAAAAGACTAGAGAATCTCAAAATATATTTTTATATGTTTATAAATGAAGTCAGATACAGATACATCTTTGAATGGATTGTTGCTGTCTCATAAAATGGAAAAAATAAATTTCTTACCTTTCTTCTGGAGTATCTACATGAAATGTTCTCTCTATAACAGTGGTCCACTGGAGACATCTGATTATAAACGTGTTTGGCTTTGGTCGTTCTGTTTTCATTAACTGGCATTCTGGAAACAAAACAAAATGTCTCTTTATATATACATATATTTAAACCAAGAAGTAAATAACTCAGAACTACAGAGTTCTATTTTAAACAAAACACACTGCAATCTCACAGCTTTCCAAAGGTCTCCACTCAAGGTTGTTTGCAATCTGACCACAGCATTCCTTTCCAATCATTCACCCATTCTGATGACATTAACCAGCTATACTGGACTGTCTAATTTTCCCCCAAAGATATCTTTCTTCTTCCTATATGTACACATTTGCTCCAGCTGTTCTTGCTATCTGTAATGTCTTTCATTTGTCTTACCTCTATTTATATTCATCACCCACAGTGAAAAAAGCACTGGTCCTTGAAGGTCCAAAGCAAATTTTACTCCTTCCACAAAACCTTCTATAGCACCTCATCCCAAACTGACCATTTCCCCCCCTATATTCTCATTACTTATTATTATACCCTCAGTTTTCACTTATCATAGACTATCTTACAGTATTATTTGTCATTTTAAGAAGATATCCTTGTCTAGATTTTAAGCTTTTTGTCAACATAAACTGCCTGTAACTCATATTATCCACAGCTCCTACACTCAGTCTAAAAGTGGTTTAATTTTGTTAGAGTGTGTCTAGAAAGACTTCCAAGAAAAGGAGCACAGTATAGTGCCTAAAAGTATGGATTCTGACACTATACTTGGACAATGCCTGGATTAGATTATTTTATTCTACCATTAATTATACAAACTTGGACAAGCTAATTAATCTCCTGTCTTCAATAGTTAAATGGGAAATAATCACAGCATCTACATAATAGAATTCAAGTAGGGATTAATAATAAAATCATGCAATACTTAGATAATATGGGACATATAATAAGTTTCCAACAAATGTTTGCTATTAATATTTTTAGGCTATTCATTAGCCAGGATTTTAAAGGATAAGTGGTATTAGCCAACAAGAGAAAGTAGGGAAAAGTTGTCAACTAACACTGCTCTTACCAAAGAAACTAACTTACCCAGTCGAAAAATTCAACAGTCTTTTCTCAGTGCTTATCTGTTCTGTCATATTTCCATCATTAGCAACTATTAACTACCACTTATGTCTTTATAGGTCCTAGTCATTGCTCACATTAGACTCTTTGTTGACTCTTTACACTGAAAGAGATCATTTAACCAAGGGTCTCTGCTTAGTTTTCTTCTCTATTCTAACAAGTCTTCAGGGTTTCAACAATCATTTCTCAGTTTACCAATATAAAAACTCTAACTTCTGGCTGAGCATGGTGGCTCACCTCTATAATCCCGCACTTTGGAAGGTTGTGGAGATCGCTTGAGATCAGAAGTTGGAGACCAGCCTAGGCAACATAGTGAGACCTTGTCTCTACCAAAAATCAAAAAAATTAGCCAGGCATGGTCATGTGTACCTGTAGTTCCGCTACCCAGGAGGCTGAGGCAGAAGGATTGCTTGAGGGCAGGAGATTGAGGCTGCAGTGAGCTGTGATCATGCCACTGCACTCTAGCATGAGTAAGAGCGAGACTCCAACTCAAGACAAACAAACCCAAACTTCTTTCCATCTTAAATTTCTACTTTAAGATGTATATGTCTAAATATACAGTGAATATCTCTATCTGGTATCACACCTAAAACCCAACTTTCTCCCTAAATCCATTCCTCTTCCTAGCATTTCTAATTTTCTCATCACTCAGACTGAAACATTAAGTGATCTTCCTTTTTGACGCTGGTAGTATTTGCCACTACAGATGCTTTTCAACTTACAATGGAATTATCTCCTGATATACACCAATGTAAGTTGAAAATACTGTAAGTTGAAAATATATTTAATATACCTAAACAACCAAACATCATAGCTTAGCCTAGCCTACTTTAAATGTGTTCAGAAGACTTAAATTAGCCTACAGTTGGACAAAATCATCTAACACAAAGTCTGTTTATATAATAAGGTGTTGACTACTATATAGAGATGAGTGGTTTGTCCATGATGGATGATGAAAACACAATAATATCCCCCAAAAATGCCAACATCACAGCACACTGAAGAGTATCCGTTTACCTTCCTGATCATGTGGCTGCCAGGGAGCTGCAGCTCACTGCCACTGCCCAGTATCTTGAGAAAAGATCACTCTACATATCACTACTCCAAGAAAAGGTCAAAGTTCAAAATTTTCATTATTGTTTCTCTGAATGAATACCACCTCTTAAACCATCATAAAGTGTAAACATCTGAAGTCAGGGACCATCTGGATCTTGTTTTTCCACCAATTCAATTCTACTTCGGATTCTCATTGCCCAATAACTAAACCTCCCCTGCTGCCATAAAACCAGAATCTTCCTACTCAGAGATATTGAGAGGCTACATAAGCAGAAGTCAAAAACTGTGTTCTAGGAGACATCTGGGCTGAGCATGGTGGCTCTAACCTGTAACCCCAGTACTTTAGGAGTCTGAGGTGAGAGGACTGCCTGAGCCCACAGGCAACCTGGCAAGACCTCAACTCTACAATAAACCAAAAGATTAGCTGGGCATGGTAACACACACCTGAGCCCAGTAGGTCAACACTGGGATGGCTGTGAGTGTGCCACTGCACTCTAGCCTGGGCAATGGAATAAGATTACAACTCCAAAAAACAAAAAAACAAACAAAAAAAACAAAAGAGAGAGACACTGGAACACATCTGTAACTGAACTCCTAATTTTTTCCACTGTGTTCCCTCTATCAACCTCTACCTACAGTTTTCTCCATCTCAGGTGATAACAACTCCATCCTTTCAACTGCTCAAGTCAAAAACCTTGGAACTACTCTAAAATCCTCTCTTTCCTTATGTCACATTCACTCCTGGAAATCCTATTGGCTCTACTTTCAAAACATAACTAGTTTCTGTGTACCTTTTACCACTTCAACTACCTCAGACTAAGTCATAATTCACTCTCACCTGATGACTCCAAAAATCTTAGAAGTGCTCTCCCTGTCCCTCATTGCAATCTGTTCTCAACATAGCAGCCAGAAATCTTAAAATAAACATATGTAAAAAAAAAAAAAAAAAAGTTCTGCAGTATTTCAATTCACTAAGAATGGAAGACCATGGCCTTGAAGTGATCAGCAGGTATCCAGTGTGATCTGGCCCTCCGACTCACCCCACTGAAGTTTTCAGCTCCTCCCGTAGCACTGTCTTTCAGACCACCCTGCTAGCCACCCTGGCATCCCTGCATTTCCTCCATGATGTACTACACTCACTCTGCTTTAGGGATTTTTGTCAAGCTAGGCCCTCTAACTAGCATTCTTTCCTATCACACATCCCCACAGTTAACTCCCTCAAGTCTTAGATCACTTCTAACCCTCACATTTAAGCCTACTGTGACCATCCTATTTAATACTGTAATCTATACTCCTTAGCCAGGGCTCCTCACCTTCTCTAATCAGCTGTACTTTTTAGTTTCCATGGCAGGCTATCATCTTCTAACATATGAAATAACTATATTGAGTATATTTCTTGTTTATTGTCTATTTCCCCAACTATATCACAAGTTGCAATGAGAATATTCTTAGCGCCAAGAATTATGCCTGACACCCCACAGATGCTCAATAAATATTTTCCAAATGAATTAATTCTGATAGTAATGACCCAACAAAGAATGTAGAGCAATTTCCCTATAAAAGCAAGGAGGAATAACATTAACCAGGAAAGTGAAGGAGTAGCTCCAGTCAGGAATATAAACAGTTCAGTTATGAAGGAGGGGAGAAGATAGGCTAAAAGGGCCCAAATGCAATTAGAGTATAGATGCAAGAAGCTGGTAGAAATAATTTTCTCACTGCTTCTATTTTTGCAGTAAATTAGGATGTAAAGCCATCAGTTAAAAATATGGTTGCAAGAGAATGCACTGCAGCTTTAAGAAGAAAGATATGAAATAACACTCTAGAAAAATGGAAGCATAAACAGACAAGGGAAACATATCATGACTGCTGAATAGCATTAAGGGCCTATTTGAATTCAATGATCAAGAACTTAAAGTAAAATCAAGGATTATGATTGTGTACTTTTCTCTAGATATATTCAGTTGCATAGGTACTTGTGGGGAACACAGAGGACTGAATTTAAGTAAGGATGTATAGTAGTCACATAAGTTTGTCAAAGCAAGAAGTGGAAGACAGTACAGAATACAAGGAAAGGAAGTAATTAAGATAATTAACTAAGAAATTGAAAATGAGTAGGAAAGAAAGTGAGAATCTGGTGGTTGTGTAAGATAATGCAATCAATACATGATAAAATCTATTACAACATAGTTAAATCTTGTATAGAAATATTACAAAATTTTTGGAATATGAAAATTTAAAATATCCAAATATGTTATGCCATAAACAATAGTATACAATAAAAATATTAATTTGAAATACAAAAATTTTAAAATACCAAAGACATTATACTAATTTATACTAATGAAGAACTACCTAATTTCTATGACTTTCTCCATTCACCAGTCTGATTCTCTTTGAAGCCCACTGTTCCTTCCCATATCTTTCATTCCAAAACTACTAGTAAATTTCCAGCCAATAGTTCACTACACGATCCTATACATGTTTAATACATGTTAATTTGATCTCTTAACTAAATTCCTTAAAAAGCTAGAAATTATGAGCACAATGCTTCCTACAGTACCTAGGACAGTGACAACATACAGGATATACAATAAATACTTGATGACTGAGCAACTGATAGATTGGATTTTTATTTTTTTTTGAGTTGGAGTCTCACTCTGTCGCCCAGACTGGAGTGCAGTGGCCGCTCCCGGCCACCGCAGCCTTGACCTGCTGGGCTCCGGCGATCCTTCCGCCTCAGCCTTCCAAGTAAGCTGGAACTACAGGCACGCGCTACCACGCCCAGCTCATTTTGATTTATTGCACAGATGAGGTCTCGCCAAGTTGGCCAGGTGGGTCTCGAACCCGCGGACTCAGGTAATCCACTCACCTCAGCCACCCAAGGCGTGGGATTACAGGCTGACC